CCGGGCAGGCGAGGTGCGCCTCGTCACCTGTTGCTGTGTGCCTGCCTGGCTGCAAGGCTCCGTTGATCTTGGCCTTCTGCTCGTCACACATGCTCGCATATTTGCCTACTTGCTGTGCAGGTGATCAACAACAACCTCAACCCGTCGTGGCGCCCGTTCAGCCTTTCCATTGCGCAGCTTTGCAATGGTGACGAGCACCGTCCCTTGCTGCTGGAGGTATGCCTGGCTGGTTTGTCTGGCACCCTTTTTGGTGGCACCTGTACATCCCGCTGTGCCCGTTTTGGTGCAGGTGTTAGATCGCGATCCTGGCGGCCTGAATGAGTTGATTGGCTCCTGTCATGCGAGCCTGCGGGAGCTGCTGGACGCAGCAGCCCAGGGACAGGGCTTGCCCCTGCTTAACCCGAAGCAGCTGCAGGCGGGTAAATCGGGCTACGTGTCTTCAGGTGCGCCGCAGCGACCCAGACACCTCATGTGCTTTGATTCAGCGCGTACAGCGCCACCTTGGCACTGATTATCAGCGCCGCAATGCCTTGTTGCAGGCACACTGCTGGTGAAGCAGGCATCAGTACATCCTCGGCCATCGTTCCTAGACTTTATTCGATCAGGCTTGAACCTAAACTTCATTGTGTCCATCGATTTTACAGCTAGCAACGGCGACCCACGGAATCCATCCTCGCTGCACTACTACAGCCAGCGGCCCACCATCTACGAGGGTAGGGGGCCCGCATGCTGCTCTACCTGCCACTGTAGAAAACATGCTTATTCCGAAGCCTGCCACCTGGTGAGAGATTGCCAAGAGATGGCATTATGCGCACCTGGCGCGGTCGCAGATGCCATCTCAGCAGTGGGAGGGGTGCTTGAGCACTACGATACAGATCAAAAGTATCCTGCATATGGCTTTGGCGCCGTCCTGCCGCCCTCCGCCGCCGCAAACCATTGCTTCCCGCTCAACGGCAACCCGAGCAACCCAGAGGTGGCGGGGGTGCGCGGCATCCTGGACGCATACAGGCACACGCTGTCCACAGTCAGGCTGTCGGGCCCTACGCTGTTTGCGCCCATCATCAATGCTGCGGCTCAGGTATGCGCCGTGCAGGCACCTCCCTTGCAACACCACCCTTCTGGTCTCCATAGCGATGGCGATCACACATGTGGAGTCCCTCCCTTGATCGTCCCTCCCTATTCGGCTGCTGCAGATTGCGGCGCAGCCATCCTCACAGCTCGAGTACTATGTGCTGTTGATCTTGACAGACGGGTGAACCAAATGTCCAGCTTTGCTGTTGTGCATGTATCTTCTCATTGAGATTGATCGTGCCGTTGCTCCCAGGTCTTTGCCCTAACAACCCTGCTTTGCCTTCCAACAGGTGTATTATGGACATGGCCAACACACTCACGGCACTGGTGAATGCGTCAAGCCTGCCGCTGTCTTTTCTCATAGTGGGAGTTGGCCGCGACGACTTCCACGCCATGCACGTGCTGGATGGCGACCAACACCGCATTCGTGCACCAGATGGCCGCTACGCGGCGCGCGACAGCGTGCAGTTTGTCGAGTTCCGGCCTGAACAGGTGCGGCCTGTTCATGATGTTTGGGAAAGCATGTGCATGGGTGTTTGCAACCCTCCACCACCATCCTGCACTGTGCTGCAGCGCGACACGGTGGAGAGCCTGGCGGCCAAGCTGCTGGCGGAGCTGCCGGGGCAGGTTGTGGAATACCATGACATGCGAGGCATCTCACCGAGCACAATGTCTATGCCACCACCTGCAGTGGCAGCAGCATCGGGTCCACACCCAGCAGAACCAGCAGGGGCAGCGGCATCCGCTCAACCAGCGGTGGCTGCAGTGCCTGCTGCTGCGAACCCTGCCAACCATTATCACAGGATATGATATCGTTTGGTAGGGTATTGACGTTTGGTAGGGTTTGACGCTTCTAGACAAGTGTGTATCCATGGTGCTCTGTGACGTTTCCAGACAAGCGTGATCCATCGTGCCTGCATGCATCACGCTGCGCGCTGACGTGGCGTGTGCTTTGAAAAGGAAGGAAGGGTGCCCCACACGGCTGGAGCTCAACAAACTCGCAGCCTTCCCGCCCTGATCAACGCGTGTGTTGGGTCATCTCACCCCGTCTGGACCTCGCCCCTGCTCGCCCGCACGACCAACCACTTCGCACTGGGCTGCGCCGGGGGGTGGGCCGGGCGCGTTGCGGCGGCGCGAAGCGGAATGCACAGGGGGGGCGGCAGCTGAAGCAGCAGAGCGCGCCAGCTGGTGTAGCAGAATGTCCGGCGAGGCGGCTAGTCCCGCTGTTGCGGCGCCTGCAGAGGTGCAAAGGTTGCAGCAGCCCGCCGATCACTTGGTGGCGCAGGCTCCGCCAGGCAGCGGCGGCGGCGGTGGCGGAAGCCCGCAGGCCAGCAGCCCGGCGCCAGAGGTGGGCGAGGTGAGTGAGCGAAGGCTTGGCTGCGGCTGGGTTTGATCCTTCCCACCTGCCATTGAAACGCGCGTCACTGTTGCAGCCCCTCCACTTGCGCTGCACTGCCCATCCAGTGCCCGCAGGCCAAGCCGGTGGCGGCAGCCGCCGCCGTCGAGGCTGGTGCTGAGCCAGATTCTGGCGGCCAGCGTGCCAACGGCGGCCCTGCAGGTGGGAATGCCGCATCTGCGCTTTGGCACGCTCGCTGCTCAAATGCCTTGCCCGTCCTATGCCATGTCCTTCGGCAGTGCCTTGCACCATGGCTGGCTTGCCGCCCTGCATTCCTGCGCCAGCAGCACCTGCAGCCTTGGCACGCTCCGGTCTCACCTGCAGGTGGCGGCGGCAAGCGCGACTACGTGCGGTGGGCCCCAGAGGAGGAGCAGGTGTTCTATTCTGCGCTGCGGGGCGTGGCGGGGCAGAAGCCCGAGGTATGCCTCAAGGAGATCACTGTGCAGCTGGCGGGGTCCAAGGACTACGCGCAGGCAAGGGCACGGGGAGCGGCTTGTTTGATGGCATGCAGTGTGTGGCTGCTTTGCCCACAAGAAACAAGCGGATCGGCGCTTGCAGCTGCGTATTTCCCCATCACCGCAGCACCTTCACATCCACCTTAACTTGCGCGCCCTTCGTAGCGTCCCTCCACCCCCCCCCCCCCGCGATTCCCCCACACAGGTGCGCCACTACTACTACCGCCTCATCAAGCGCCTCAACCGCATCATGGGCGCGGGGTCGGCGCTGGACACCAAGAACCCGCTACAGGTGCACCGCTCCATGATCAAGTTTTGGGAAGTGGTGAGCAGGAGCAGCAAGCTGAATAATCACATGCATAACATGCATATAAGCAACTCTGTCTGAGAGCCTGTCAAACTGTCCCCTGCTCGATTCCTGCCTTCTGCCCATTGAGCCCGTCAGCTGCCTCCACACTGCGCCTTGCTGCCTGCAGGTCGTGGACAAGGGGATGCGGGGGACATGCATGGTGGGCATCATGAAGAAGCCTCGCAAGCAGCGCGAGCTCAGCAACACGGTGCAGCGTGGCGTGGCAGCGGTGGTGAAGCGCACTACCGGCGGAGGTGCTACTGGAAAGGCAGCAGGTGGTGGTGCTCGCAGCGGGAGCAGCAGCCGCAAGCGCAAGCCTCGAGCAGCGGATGCCGATGGTGCTGCTGCCGCCGCCGGCATTGGGCAAGTGGATGTGGAGATGGCGGATGCCATGGCACCACCGCCTGCCAAGCAGCAGCGGCGTACCGCAGGGCCCAGCACCCGCCAGCAGCAGCTGCTGGCGGCGGCTGAGGCTGAGGCGGCCGTGGGCAGCGGCATTGGTGACACAGCTGCTGTTGCAGAGGGCAGCTCCCAAAGCCAGACGGACGGACATGAGGGCAACATACCCTCACAGCAGCCAGCCACAAGCAGCCATTCGGCTGGGAGCCATCCACAGGACCTGGCGCAGCCACCCCGCGCCAGCACAGCCTACAGCTTCAGGAGCAGCAGCAACGCCGGGCTTTCTGGAGCGGTGCTGGAGGGCAGCATGGGACAGGTACGACCTTACTGCCTGCTGCTACTGTTGCGGTGCCTGCGGCCTTGTCTGGCTGTCCTGACTTGCGTAAGCAGCTGCTGTTGCTGCCTAACTTGTTGCGCTGGACAGTCAACCTGTCGAGAGTTTGTATGCCACTGGCCCCTGCATGTTGTTGGTGCAGGTGGGCGGCAAACTACGGTTGCAGCTGGTGCCACTGGACCCTAGCACAGCACAGGCCATGTCGGCTGTGGGGTACCACCCATTTTTGGAGCTGACCTTGAGCACCAGCAAGAGTCTGCTGTCAGTGCTGCGCCATCTGGGCATCAAGTGGCAAGCTGCGGCACCCGACGCATGCGGCAACGAGCCCGCCGTGCTGTTTGTGCACCCGCCTGCGGATGGCCCCATTCCACTGCGTGGCATCTGCTGGGGAGGGCCCGACTGCGATAGCCAGCTCAAGGTCTGTTCCTCTGCGTTGCATAGCTGCTTGTGGGGGGATTGCTGCACTGCCCTACCAAGCACCACGCCTTGTCATGCCATGAAACGTATCCCTGCTAATCTACCCTCCACGCACTATTGAGTTGCAGATGGGAGACATCTACACCACCCTGCACTGTCCCGCCCCCTTTCAGCTGCTGTACTCCTGGGGCCGCCCAGCTGGCAGCGCAGCACCAGTGGCAGCAGCGGCAGCACCATTGCCAGTGCCGCCAGGAAAGCAGACCAGCAGTCGGGCTGCACAGCGGTCGGCCGAAGCTGCCCAGCTGACTGCGGAGCTGCGGGAAGCCATCTCGGCGGTTGCCGCTGCCACTGGTCCGGCAGGTGCGGCAGCACCCGTGTCTGGACACTCACAGCAGAAGCAGGAGCAGCAGCGAGCCGCTGCACCCGGATTGTTCCTTCAGCTGCTGCAAGGCAGTGAGGCAGAGAACCATGCTATGCCAGCAGCAGAGGCAGCGGTCGAGCTCAGCTTTGGCGGCTTCCTAGATGGAGCAGAGGCACCGCAGTTTTGCACGCAGCAGCAATCTGCTGCACCCCCATCGCTGGCGGTTGGCGGGGGCGGCACACCAGTGCAAGCGGCGCAGCCATGCAGCAGCGAAGCTCACATGGTGGCAGATGAAGCAGCGGCAACGCCCGGAACGGGAGATCCTCGCAAGCCCCGCGGCCTGCTCAGCTTGCTGCAGACGTCGGCTGGCAAGGCAGGAAAGCGGACGCCTGCAATAAGGAAGCAGGGGGCCCAATCCCAGCGCAAGGCGTCCTGCACCTCCAGTATCGGTGCCAACCAGCGCAGCAGAGGCCGGCGACAAAAGCAGCAGCAGCAGCAGCAGCAGCCTACCTCATTGTTGCAGCAGCAGCAGGGCGCCGGAGAGGCTCCTTATGGCATGCCCCTTCCTGCAGGCTTTGCGCCATACCCGTGGACACACATGCACCCGCACTTGCAGGCGGTCCCCATCTTGCAACAGCCCCAATTGATACAGCCAGTGCTTCAGGTGCCAGTGCTCCAGCCGCAGCACCCTGGACATGAGCCTGCACATCTTCCGTCACAGCCGGCGAAGCAGCCGCAGGCGGCAGCGGGCAGCCATCGCCTCCCCCCAGAGCTGGATTTTGGCGGCGATTCACTCTTCCAGCTGCTGGATCCTGGCCATGCCAGCCCAGCAACAGGTTGGTGGCCGGAATGGGCGTGTGGTGGAGAATTGAATGTGTGTGGTGGCACCAAGATCTGCCTGAACAGTGCACCCATTTCTGTTGCTCTGCAGGCTTGCCCAACCTGTCGCTGTTTGGCAGCCCAGAGAAAGGGGAGTGCCAGCAACCCAGCAGCGGTGAGCACAACTGACGCGCACCTGTTTAGAAGCACCAACCTGTATGGCACTGTCTGCGTGCACACCCATTATCTTACCCATCAGCTCAGGTGTGTAAATGATCTGCACTGCTTTACCCTGTGCAGCAGCCCCAATATTGGAGTCTGGCGACTTCAGCCTGAAGAGCTGGCCGACCCTGTCACCACCATCCAACTTCCAATTTCCAGATGGCTTCGATCCGGGGCTGTCACCCATGCGCAAACGTGGCACGGCTGGGGCGCATCTGCCACCCGCAGGCACTTTAACGGGTGGCACCAAGGACGGGACAGCTGCAGCAGCATCAGGGCCAGCTGGTGCAATGGGCTCAGTCCTGGGTCCCACTGACTTTAGCCTGCTGATGGCTGATGTCAGTGCAGGTGCTGTCGCCACTGCTGCGACCCAGCAACAGACCGCAATGGATGCAGGCACTCAGCAGCAGCTACAGCAGCAGCAATGTTGTGCGCAACCTGCGGCTCCGCAACAGCACCAGGGTCAGCAACAGCAGGCCCTACGCACCACAGCAGCAGCGCAGCAGGCAGCGGACGCGCTGCTTGGCAGCTCGAGCCTGCATGGTCTGCTGGGCACCACCACGCGTTCGCCTGAGGACGGCGCTGCGGCAACGGGCGCTGCCCTGCCGCTGTTGCCTGACAAGGAGCTGGCGGATCTAACCTTTGACTTTGGCAGCCTGCTGGGAGTGGGTGATGCGGCGCCCAGCTGGCTTGGGCCCAGTGGACGCCCAGCGCAGCAGCCTGACCCAGCGCAGCATCCTGACCAGCAGGCCATCGGCGATCGCCCGTTTGCCAGCCTGTTTGATAACTAAACCGGGGCCCCGCCTCTGTCGCCCTTGCTGCACCCTCTTTGCATTGCACACCCTGCATATGACCTCCTTTCGCACTTGTTTACTTACATCCAGCTCCGCTCTTCTTGTGCCGTGCTCGCCCATAGGGTGTGCTTTCTGCCTGTCAATGCTTCGGTGTCAAAGGAACACATTGTATGCCATTCACAATTATAAATCACATATCTTGCAGATGGCTGCCCTGCCCCCTCGCTGCCGCCTCCGCTGCCGCCGCCCGCTGACTGCGGCAGCAGCCCCAGCTTGCCAGAATTTGGCGTGATGCGTGCCCAGCGCCGCCAGGTCAGCGCCGACCGCTCAAGCGGCCTCGCCGTGACGAGACATGGGCACCCCCGTGAACAGCCGTGTTTCCTTCAGGCGCAGGCAGAGTGGCAGCCTCTGACAGGCCGGAAACCCCTGCACTCAGGCCGGAAACTGCTGCGTGCCGCATCAGCGGGACTGTTCCTTTTGGAGCACACGCCCGGCAGCTCATGGGCACAGCCCCCGCCATGACAGCCCCCGACATCACACCTTAAACGCGCGCGGATTTGGGACCCCCATGTCTGCTAGCAACAGTGGGGGAGGCCAGGACAGCGAGGAGGAGCCCAGGCCGCCGCTCTTCACTAGGTTGGCCAGCAGGGGGCGGCGTGGCGTGGCGGCGGTCGGCGATGCCGCCACCAACGCGTTGTCCGCCACCAAGGATGGCCTGGACTCAATGCGGGATGGCGCCCACAAAGTTGCCATCCACATGGACAAGTGGGCCGCCGATGGCGTGGTGAGTTATAGGCCCAGCGCCTGTGCAGGGACCACCGCCCTTCGCTCTGCTCCTATTGTGCCGTCTGCGCCGCGCTGTTGGTGTAGGTGGGGCGCACCTTTCGATTCAAGGAGCGTTCAGCCAAATTTACCACGGAGCTGCGGGCGGGGGTCATCACCTTTCTGATGGTGGGTGGGGGCAAGACTGAAGCATGGGACGTCACGCACAGGAAGCGCAGTGCGTGCCTGGCTGCTGGTGGCTGCACTTTGCTGCCAAGCCGCCCAACCCTCAGGCAGGCAGGCAGGTAGGCAGGCAAGGTCCTGCACAGAACGGACCTCCCTTCGCCTCAACGCAGGTGTCGTACATCTTGGCCGTGAACCCCTCCATCCTGGCAACCACGGGCGGCACGTGCGACCCCAAAGAAGTCTGCTCGGTCAGTCAGCAGCCCGTCTTGGCGGGGAGCGTTTGCGTGAACTGGCCCTGCACAGCAGCAATGCTGGGTGAACATTCCCAGGATGCTGCTGTCGATTCCCCACCTTCCCTCCCTCCCTTGCCTCCACAGACGGACGACTTCGACCTGCTGGGTCCCCAGTGCCTGTCCAACCCTGTTGACGAGGGTGCGCAGCAGTGCATGGCGCAACTGATGCGCAGCCTCATCACCGCCACCGCCGCCTCCTCCCTCATCTCCACCTTCTTCATCGGCTACTTTGGAAACCTGCCACTTGCGCTGGCGCCCGGCATCGGTGAGCCCACGGGTAGCGCCCGTGCAAACACCTGCGCGACGGGGGGATGGCACCCATGGATGGTGTCTGTCATGGTGCTGTGTGCTTGACTCGTGGGGCCCCACCCGGCACCTTGTCGGATCCCTCGTGCGCAGGCATCACGGCATACGTGGCATACCAGGTGGTGGGGCAGCACGGCATGGGGCAGCTGTCGTACCAGCAGACCATGACGGCAGTGTTTGTGGAGGGCTTCATCTTTGTTGTGCTGTCGGTCACGGGCGTGCGCGGCGGCATCATCAAGTTCATGCCCAAGTCCATCGCCATGGCCTCTTCAGGTGCCGCCCCTGCCCGTTGTGCAGGGCGTGGTGCTGCTGCTGATGGTGTGGGTGTGTGGTGGTGTGTGGTGGTGGTGGTGGCGGACTGGGCTGAGCGGCATGCTGAGGTCAGAGCGCTCAGCACCAGCTTGTGCTGAACATTGGCTTGCTGCCTGCCCCCTGCCCACCCACAGTTGGCATCGGCATGCTGCTGGCCTTCACCGGGCTGCGCAACATGGGGCTCATCGTGTATGACTCTGCCACGCTGCTCACGCTGGGCGGCTGCCCCAGCAACCGGCGAAACTTCCTGTACGCATTTGACGAGCCGATCACATCCGACATGCTGGCCAACCTCACCTTTGCCGCCTTCCCGCCCCCCGCCTCTGTGTACGGCTGCTTGGACGATTCGGTGAGTGGTGGGGTGGCCCCTTGCTGCCCTGCATGTTCCACAGTGCAGCCAGCAAGGCAGTGCGCTCCTCGTGCTGATACAGCACCACTCCTAGCCCTCCGCAGATGCGGTCTCCCACGATGTGGCTGGGCATTGCGGGCGGATTCCTGATGTGCATCCTGCTGTATATGGGCATCAAGGGCTCGCTCATCCTGGGCATCCTGTGAGCTGGGCGGATGGCCTGTTGAGTGCACGCTGGCCATGAAGGCTTGCCCCTCTTGTCTGACAGAACATGCATGCCTGACAACTGTCTTGCAGCCTTCAGCCGCCCGCCTCCTGCCTGCCTGCCTGCCAGCCAGCCAGCCCCTGAGCAGCTCATGTCGCGGCCCTGTGCCTGCAGGTTTGTTACTGTCATCTCCTGGATTCCGGGGCACGGCGCCTCCTACCTGGGAGCCAGCTCGCCCATACCAGGTCTGCACCGCGCAAGTGGTTAGCACACCGATATGCCGCTGACGATATTTTGCAAATCAGCTGGTGAGGTTCCTATTGACAGTCACACTGTTGCCTGCGCTGGCCTGTGCAGGCGGCGAGGCGCGGATGGATGTGTTTAAGCAAGTCGTGGCGGCCCCAACCCTAAGCGCCACGGGGCTGGCCTGGGACTGGTCAGCCTTTGGCGATGGCAAGCTTTGGCTAGCCCTTTTCACCTTCCTGTGAGCCGCACCTCGCTGCCGTTGCAAGCAACCTGGTGCGCTTGGGCCAGTATGAACCCCACCCTGCCTATCCGCCTCACTGTGTTGGTCACCTGTCCCCACTGGATGCAGGTACATTGACCTGCTGGACTGCACCGGCACCCTGCTTTCTATGGCGCGCCTGCTCGACTTCAACATGCCAGGTGCACTGGAGGCCAAGCCCCCTACATTCTGTGTGCCTGCAATCGTTGCTGGTTGCAGCATGCTGCAGCCGCCCTGATTCTCATTGTTAGCCACCTCTTAGGCCCCGTTTGTGGCGTCTCCAGCGACCCCAATTTCCCATGTTTGGTCCGCAACTGACCCTGCCGTGCCCTCCCCTCAAACCACGCAGGCTTCCTGTCTGAGAACATGGAGTTTCCGGGGCAGATGTGGGCCTTCCTGTCGGACGGCATCGGCATCGTCAGCGGCTCCATGATGGGCACCACCTCCCTCACAGTCTACATTGAGTCGGCGGCGGGCATCGAGGATGGCGGGCGTACCGGGCTGACGGGTGTGTTTTTGTGGATGGTGTGTGTGTGTGGGGGGGGGGGGGGTCTGCTGACCTGGCAGCACAATAAGAATGGTTCCACTCAAGCCTGCACTGTTTATTGCCATGGCAGTGGGCGCAGTGTAGCGTGCCGCAAGGGGCCAGTGCTGCGCCTGGCTGTGTTCCGCTCATCCCTGCGCCCTCTCATGCTGCCTTCCCGTTGCCTGCCCGCAGCCGTGGTTGTGTCCTTCTTCTTCCTGGCCTCCCTCTTCCTATCCCCCATCATCGCCTCCATCCCGCCCTATGCCACCGGCCCCGCGCTGGTGCTGGTGGGCACCATCCTGCTAGGCCACATTGCGCACATTGAGTGGGACGACATTGGCGTCGCCATCCCCGCCTTCCTCACCATGGTGCTCATGCCCTTCACCTACTCTGGTGCGGGCGGTGGTGGTGGTGGGACCAGGACGGGTCAGGGTGCTGGGCGGTTGAGCCAGGAGGCATGCAGTGGCCAGCCAGCACCCCAGCAATGCCCTTGCTGCCTCCGTCACCGGCTCACCTATGTTGCTCGCTTCTTGCCATCCAAGTTACCTTCGTGCAGTGGCATACGGCGTGATTGCCGGGCTGGTGAGCTACCTGGCCATCCACGCGCCCTTCTGGCTCACAGACTATATACGCAAGCGCTGGTGGCCTAGCAGCAGCGTCGGCTCGCCGCGCTCGTCCCGTGCACGCCGCAGGTGCGGGGCCCGCATCCTGCATCAACTCAGATCGGTGTCTGCCGGCCCCAGGCCCACACGCCCACCCGCTCCCTGCACCCTTTCTTTGCGCCCAAGCGCAGGAGCAAGGCGGGGTATCACATGCGCAAGACGTTTGGGCCGCAGGAGGACCCGCCGTCGCGCGCCGACAGCTTTGTGGGCGGCCCTTGGTACGACGACAGCTACCACACGCAGGATAGCCGGCGCTCCGCGCTACCCACCTCCATGCTGCAGCACATGGTGGGCGGCACGGCACCGGGCACGGCGGCTGGCAGTGTGCCCAACAGCCTCCAACCTGCCCGCTCCAACCCACCCAGCGTCATCAACATGTTTTTCCCGGATAACAGCATGCGAGGTGGCGGCACTGTCCACAGCTTGCGACGCGCAAGCGGCAACATTGGCGGCTATGGGCGTTCGGGCTCCTACGGCGGCACCGCGGTGCGGGGGCCAGCAGGGCGGTCGGGCAGGACGGGGATTGGTGGATCAGCGAGCTGGGGATGGGTGAAAAGGCACCACCAGCCCTCCTCAGGCCTGGCATATTGACTGCGCAACAGTCTGTCTGTCTGTCCGAAGTCAAGGTCCACTTGACATTCTTTCATCCGCCCACATCCTGTGCAGGAGACTGAACTGCCACCCTTACCGCAGGGTCCACCCAACGGTTCGCTCAGTCTCTTCCGTAGATCATATACCATGCAGTCGCCTGGAAGAGGTGTGTCCAAGCTGGCGCCTTGGCATGCGCCTCACGCTGCCTGCTGTACCACTCCTGCCTACGGGTGGTTGTGCTGGCAGCCTTATCCTGCCTGCCAACCTGCCAGCGACGCGCCTGAGCTTCAAATTGCCTGCATTCCCGCGATCGTCTTCTCCGGCTGGCATCCCACCTGTACTGTGGCATGCTGGCGCTCGTGCTGCAGAGCTGCCTGGCCAAAGGGGCCCGACACCTCTTGGCAGCCGCACTCTGAACCGATCACTCACCGACATGCATGCCGCGGCGCAGCCTTACGGCTCCTCGCCTGCTACCTCAACACCGCGGACGCGTGGTGGTGGTGGCAGGGCATCACCGCCCAGAGGCAGGCCAGGCCTCACCCGCCATCCGTCTGTGGGTGCCATTTCGGCAGGCAGCGGCAGCCCGCGCCATGGGCTGCCGCCCTTGCATTTAGAAATGACACGGTCCCGCACATTTAGGTGAGCGTTTGCACCTATATGACTCATTTTGAGGCCGCCTGCAGCTGTTGGTGTCTCATTTGTCTCTGCTGTGCTTTACGCTGGCCTCGGGTCGTTGCAGCCATGGCATCAGCGACCTTGGCTCGGGCGAAGACCTGCATTTGAAACAGCAGAGCAGCAGCGATCATGGTGGGGGGCTGTTCAAGCTGTTCCCAGGTGACCCTCAGCCTGACTGCTCTCTGTTGGGTAGCGTCTCCCGTGCTACGCTCCAAACTGTGCCTTTTTGTGTAGGGCATTTTCCACATCGCACTCCTCTGAATTGCAGCCTGGCTCGTGCTCCTTTGTAAAGTTGTCCCTGTCCTTTGGATCACCCTTCTGTTGCCTGCAGATGCTCCTGACCTTGCCTCAGGTGCCGCTGGCAGTGCCAGCTTCAAACTGTTTGGCGACATTGAGCCACTGCCGTTGGATCTCAGCGGCGAGGTGGCGCTGGCTGGCAGCAGCAGCAAGCAAGAGCAATTTTTCCGCCTATTTGGCGAGATCGAGCCGCTGGAGCTTCAGTGCGTTTCTTGCTGGGGGTGGGAGTGTGCAGGGCATTATGCATGGGTGCCTGCGATGTTGCTGCAGCGCACATGTTTGTATGTGTGTGTGCTGCCAGTGGGATCACCCAGAATGGCTGACGGCATGCCTTACTTTTGCGGCATCCTCGTGCAGTGAGGGCGCGAGCGCTAGCAATGGTGGGCCGAACCCGTCCTTTCGCCTTGGCAGCCTACAAAACGAGGATAGGAATGGTGAGGGCTGCACTGTAGCTGCGGACACACCTGTGCATGCCCTTGCGAATTGTTTTATTGTGTATGAAGATTGCTTGATGCACCCCTGCCACAGCTGTCTGCTCCCTAGTGACCGTCTGTCGCAACATGCGCCCCACATTGCAGATACTGCCGACCTGTCCTTTGGCGGGGGGCCGCAGCAGCAGTGTCCAGTTGGCATGGCCCCTGCGCCGCACCACGATTCCATGGAGACCACTTTGCGCGGAAGCAGTGCCTTCTCAGATGTGATGCTGGAGGCAACGCGGGTGCGTTCATGGCTGGGCAGCAAGGGTGTGCGGGCGTCTGTGTGTCGCATATCTGCCGATGCCTGTTGTCATCGTCGTGCTTGTCAGCCTGGCCTCGCGCATGCTACTGACTCCCTGGTGGCTTCTGCCGATCTTGGGATGGGTGCAGGGCTCGCAGGACATGGGCTTGGTGGGGCTGGAGGGCAGGCGACAGTTATCGGGGCCTCGGGAAGAGCTTTCACTGGCGCCGGCTGCGGCAGCAGCAGCAGCAGCAGCAGCAGCAGCAGCAGCAGCAAGCCAGCAGAGACAGCAGAGACAGCACAGCAGCACTGACGACTTGGAGGTGGCAGCTATGTCTGCACGCGCACCCACCAGAAGCCGCGACCAGCAGGCTGGCAAGCGTGGCGACGCACAGGAGGGCGGCAGCCAGGCTCGCAGTGATAGCGGTGGCCAGGAGGACAGTGGTGAGGTGGATGAGGAGGTTGTGTACAGCAGGCTGATGCGCACTTTGAGCAGCAAGTCTCTGCGAGGCATGTCGCAACGTGGCGGCAGCGTGGGTGAGGGTAGGCGTGACAGCGGCCGCTACTCCGCCGCGGCATCAGCCACCACCAGCCTGTACGTTGGTGCGACGCGCGGCTCCCTCAAGTCTGGTTCGCTGGCAGCAGCCGCAAGGCAGCTGGCAGAGGTATACAGCCGTAGCGATGCCAGCTTGGCGGCGGCTGCCGACAGCAGCAGCAGCTCGCAGGCTGGCAACAGCCCGCAGGATCTAGTGCTAGGTGCCGAGCCTGCTCCGCTGCCTAACGTGCCGCAAAGCGGCACGGCCAGCATGGCCTGGATGCCACGGCCCAGCCCCTTTGAGGCTGGTGAGACGATGCCGCAGGTGCACAGCGCCCCGCCAGAGATGGGGAGCAGCGCATCAGTGGCTTATGACGAGTCGTCAGCAGCGCGTGACTCGCCCAACGTCCATGCCGCTGCAAGCTCGCGGATGTCAGGGCTGCCCTCAGATGAGGCGTGGTTGCAGTGAGCCCACAGCCTGCATCCCGCTTTGGCAGGCACATTCATGTGCCTTTAATGCCGTGTTGCACCCATCCGCGCACTCATGAACCTTTTGCTGGCGAGTGGCTACGCCACACGTGCCCGTCTGCCTGAGACTTGCTGTGACAGGGGCAGCTCAGGAAAGTGGCAGGCAGCCTTGATGGCACTGCTGCCTGGGTTGTTGCTCGCATTGTGCCTTATACAAATCTGACGGTACCTTCCTTGCTTAGGCATGCGCTCCTTGAGCCAGTGCTGTTGGACCTCTGTCGTTCCAAATTCTTTAGATGACCACCTCTCTGTATTCCACTCATTTTGCACTAACTGTAAACAGCACTGTTGGCCAGAGCCATGTTGGCAAGAGCACCAACACTCAAAGCGCGACGCTCATGGACAGCTGGGAACAAAGTGCACTCTTGTCATCTGGGCGAATCAAAACCGGCGCCGCTGTCGCCGCCATCCAGCGCATCACCAGGACTAGCACCCTCGCCGTCGTCTTCTTCCTCCTCCTCCTCTTCCAAATCGTACAGCAGCACGCGCTACAACACAAACGCAAGCAGGGCACAACGCGGCAGGTTGAGATCCCAGGGAGTGCGCCGGAGGGAGGTGGGAGGCACACCATCCTGCACCCTGCTGTGATGCAGCAAAAGCCATCCGCAAAGGTTTGCATGTGCCCAAGCCCTCACCTGTGTACCCGCCAGCACACAGCCCACACCGCGGCTGGCACTGACAGCCAGGGGCCGCTGCACCCGCGGATAGGGCAGTCTGCGCTGGCGGCAGTCATCTAGCAGCGACCGCCCAGCAGCAGCCAGACCTGCGCCCTCCAGCATCATCTGGCACAGCTGCTGCGCATCGCAGTCAGCCAGCAGCTCGCCTGGCAGCTGCACATACTGCAGGCGGTCCTGGGACAGCAGCAGCAGGCGGCACCCGCCTTGCCCACCGCCACCGCCACCTGCACTGGTGGGAGCTAACAACAGCGCCAGCTGGCCGTCCTTGTAGAATGCGAGGTCCGCCACCACCGTACTGCCTGGCAGCTGCACCACAGCCGCCTCCAAGCCCGGCGTTTCACCGCCATCTGCACCCCGCAGCACCAGCACCTGAGGGTGCCCCTCCCAGGCCACTGCAGTCGCTGCTGTGGCACTGCCAGGTAGGTAGGACGCCGTCAAGGCGCTGGGCACTGGGCCCAGGCTGACGCTGGAGCTCAGCCCCAGAGTTGGGCTGACCACCTCCGACGTCCCCCCAAACGCCACCAAGCACGCTGCGTTCAAGCTGTCCAGCAAGCATCCCAGGCTGTTCTGGCCGTTATTGCTGCTGCTGCCGCTGCTGGCCATCTCGCCGCCGCTGCCACTGCCGCCAGGAGTGGCGCCAGTACTCGAGTCTGCTGCCTGCACCACCGCCTGCCTGCCAAGCACTTCCATCACTAGCTCCAGCATGCCACCGGAAGCAGCCGCCTCTGCCGCTGCTGCAGGTCTGCTAGCGCCCAGGGTGCTGCTCCCGCCATTGCTGCGATGAGTGCCGCCGCTGCTATCAATGCCCAACAAGGGACCCACCTCATCTTGCCGATAATGCCCTGCCAAAAACACCTCCACAGCCTCCAACTGGCTACGTGGGTACCCCACCAGCACATCCGGTGCATCCTCCTGCATCCTGAAATCATGGCAGGGCAGAGCAGGGAAGATGGGTTTGGATCCAAAACTGAACAGGGTGTTGCGTCACCGAAGTAAGGCACTGTAAAGGCAGATCGACATGGAAGACAATTGTCTTCAGGGAGGGACAGTCCCCTGATCCTGTCTCAACCCGCATCAACCCCATCCACCTTCTCAGCACGATGAGGAGCCAGGCAAAGAAAGTCCGGTACTGCGCTCCTGCCTGCACCAGCTGCCGGCGTACAGTCTCTGCCAGCAGCACCAACCGCAGCGCCATCTGCTCTGCAGCTGCCACCTACCAAAGAAACCAGGAACCAAAAACGCAGTGAGCTAGAGGGCAGAGCAAGCGGCAGTTCAGGCGCTACATTGCACCTGGCTGCGGCCAGCAATGTTGATGCATTTTGAAAAAAAGTACGGTAGGCTGCTGAAAGTTCGGGCGCCAAGTGACTGCTACAAAGCCTGCTAGAACGTGCCTCCCGCGGCCGCCTGCCCACCTACCTGCTCTGGCTGCAGCCCTGTGATATGCCGCCATGGCAGGCATAGCGCCAGGCCGCGTAGCTCCCCTAGCCTGCAGGCATGGCAGACGGGTGCGGGCGTACCCAATCTGCTCATGCCCGACCTGTCAATGCAAAAGGCTGCACTCTACCCATCAGCATCCTGCACCTACCTGAATGCCACCTGCTCCAGCTGCGGCTGCAGGTGGTCGCTGAGCAGGTTGTGCACCGAGCACACCGCGGCATCGACGGCGCGGGCCAGCTTCTTCAGGCCAGCCTCACCTGTGGTGAGGTGGTGGAGAGTATAAGTCAGGTGTGCAGGCAGGCAAACGTGCTCCTGGAAGGCGCCGCACGACTGCCACGGCAGCCACAAAGCCGCCAACCGACTGAGCAATTCTAGCGCCCGCCTTACCAAGAGTGGCTGTAATGTACTGCTGCAGTGCGCCACCAACGGCACCAGTGGCCAACAGGCATTGCAGCTCGTCGGCGGGCTCTCCGCTGCTGCCATAGTCGCTCATCAGAGCCGCCTGGAGACAGTGGTGGGTTGGCGAATGCGGTGAGTAGTGCAGAGTGCAAGCAGGCGAAGGAAGCAAGGGGCAACAATGGGGCGACTAAGGCTGGTCAGTGGTGGATCAGAGGTGGGCAGCAGAAGGAGGAACCGAAGCAGCACCCGCAGCTGCGCCAGCAGCCATGGGCAGGTGGCACAGCGAGGGCAGAGGCTGGCCAGCAGGCTGCTACCTAGCCAGCACCCTGGCAGCCTCTATCGCTCACCAGGCGGCCACGGCTGTTGTTGCACTCGTGCATGCCTGCCTGCCACTCCTTACAGGCCGCCTGGAAGCTCGCCTGGCAGCCCTCCAGCAGCGCGCCCACATGGGCAGCCTCAGCCGCCAGCCGGTGCAGCTGCACCGCATGGAGCCCCACGTGTTGCATGCTGATGATGGAGAGGCGTAGTGTAGCGGCAGCGCCGGCGCTGTCGTCGCGCCAGCATACGGTCAGCTGCTGCAGGCTGGGGGCGGTGGCCAGGCGCAGCACCGCCACCTCGCTGCAGCCCAGCAGGCCTGGCAGCTGCAGCACGCCGAGCGGGAACAGGCGTGAGGTGCAGAGCACCACGTCCCCCGCTGCCGAGGCGCAGGCCAGCACAGCCAGTCGGGTGGGCTCGGGCGGCCAAGCCAGGCAGCAGGTGCTGCGCTTGCCCAATGTGGAGTAGCCCACAGCCAGCCGCTCTGCGGCGGGCGGCGCTGCCGGCGGGGGCGGCGCAAACATGCGACGCGCGCGATCTTCGCTCAGCTGGCTGCTGGCAGTCGCTGCTGCATCAGCGGAGCTGGCGGTGCTGCCGCCGCACTGTTCCGCCGCCTCTGTCCAGCTGATGGCCACCAATGCGCTGTCAGGCACCAGCTGCGCCTTGTGCTGCACCTCGCCGTCCTCCGTGTTAAGCAGCAGCACTGTGCCATCCTCCAGCCCAACCGCCAGCTGCTTGCCGTCGGGCCGCCACTCTAGCGCTGCAGGCGGCGGGGGCGGGGGGCGGGGGGGGGGGCCCGAAGCGCATTTTGGGCGGCGCACAACTGCAAGGGCATGGTGCAAAATGCCGCATCCGCTGCATCGATTCCAGCAACTCACACCCGGCCAGGAAGGCCGGGACCTCGTTCAGAACGGCGTGCCTGTGATGGCGGCGTCTGGGGAGGTCCACCACAGGCGCTGCCAGTTGAGACGGTGCAGGTGCAGCTGACCATCGGCCGTGGCCAGCGCCAGGAGGTCCATTGTGGGGCACCATGATGACAACACCGCCTCCGCTGCGATTCCTCGGTCCAACAGCTGAGTGAAAGACGGCGGCGGGGCATCCATGATTGGAATTGGCTCTGCCAGGATTGACAGGAACACCTTGGAGGCTGTAACGGTCCGGCGGTACACCCGCCTGAGGCGGTGCGCCGGAAGACTCGCTTGACGGGCTGCACCTCTACCCCTTGATGCCAATACCAGCGCGTGGAGCCTTGAACTGGGCTAGTCGTTTATTTTACAGGGGCAGGTGCATGGGGCCAGGCAACCGTTGCGCGATGTAAAATGCAGTGCCGCTGCCGACTTATTAGCGAGGTGGGCTGACACTCTGCCCGACCCTTGCCCCTGCATAGTCTCTTTGTACCGGCTTCTGTGCGACCCACACATATTGTGGGAAGCCAAATGTTGCATCTCTGTCTCTACAGATGAACCGCCGCCACCTAAGCACCCCATCGCCCATCACCATCCAGACCAATCACCCGGCCCCTCCTGTCCATCTTCCAAGAGCTCCTTTCGTTCGAGTTTGCTGACCCTGCCGAGCTTTGAAGCCAAAGCTCGGTGCACCTCCCAGTCGGCAGGGCTTCCAAAATTCCCACTTGCTGTGCTCGTCCTGCTGCCCTGCTGCGATTCACTAGGTCATAGCGCGCCATTGGGGTGTTGGTGCAGCAGCAGGGCCACGGAGGTGGGCGCCGGCAACGCAGCCAGCCCCCCCTGGAGCAGGCTTCAAAATCTGGAGCACCGTCTGGCGTCAGGGGCAACCGAGCGGTTGAGCAGCGACTGCCGCCACCCTGCAGCTGACGCCTGCCACGAGCCGCCGCCCACCGCCGCCACCTAGCCTCCAGCGGCAGCAATGCTGGCTACGGCGTTGATTGGGATGGGCAGCCTGGGCGCGGCACTCCATGTGGCAGGCAGCGTCCTGATAGTTTTTGGCCAGGCTAGCGTCAAGGTGGCCCACTCCATCGTGGACTCGACGGGCACGCCCAGCGCCTGGGTGGTGCCGCGGGCCGGGCCCAACCCGCCTCTCTGGTGAGCCAATTTGGGCCGTTGGTTCGATGCTCACCAAAGTGCAGGCTGGAGCCGGGCCATGCCATGGCAGTGCTACCATTCACCTATCTGCTCATTCCCCTGCCCCGCCCCCCCACATCTGTAGGCGCCGCCCCGACGGCAAGTGGCGGCGGCAGAAGGCGGGCAGCAAGACGTATGCTTTCACAGGATGGAGCGCCTTTGCACTGGGCAACATCCTGCGCTTCATCGCCATGCGCTTTGCGGCGCAGACGGTGCTGTCGGGGCTGGGGTCGCTGCAGTTTGTCATCATCCCCATCGCCTCACGCTACATGCTGGGCATCCGAGCCTCCGCCTCCACCATTCTGGGCGTCACCGTGGTGCTCATGGGTGCGCGGCATGCGCTGACGTTGCCACCAGCAAGCAGCATTAAGCAAATGGAGCGATGCCTGAGTAGGCACGCTGCCTGTGGATGCTGGCATCTCGGACAGCCTGCCTGCTACCGTCGCTCCGCCGGCCTGCAGGCAACGCCCTGATCATTCTGTACGGCCCTGCCGAGGTGACCTTCACGCTGGAGCAGCTACGGCGGCAGTGGGCCACCCCAGCCATGACCACCTTCTTGGTGGTGCTCGGCGGCCTGCTGTGCCTGCTGCACTGGCTGCACTGGCGCATCACGGGCGGCATGACCATGCAGCCGCAGCCACAGCTGGTGGCCACTTTAGAGGGCGGCGGCAACGCGATAGCGGCAAGTAATGGCAGCGGCCGCAGCAGCGAACTGCCGCCAGACGCGCAGCAGCTGCTGGCTGCGGGCAGCGGCAAGTGGGTGAACGTCAGCCAAGGGGGGGTGAGCGTGCTGGCGCGGGAGCAGGATGCGGTGAGCGTGTTTGTTGGGGCGCTGCTCTTTTCAGCGGTGGCCTCCTTTGTGGGCGCTTGGAGCGTGCTGTTTAGCAAGTCTATGACCTACGTCGTCTCCTACCTTCCTGCCTCGCTCACAGACTGGTGGGTTGGGCATGAAGGGAGGGAGGAAGGGGTGCGGGGGGGGCAAGTTGGCACGCAGCAGCGAGTGCACATGGCGAGCGGGCTGCCAGGCCCTTCTTGCCGTGGTGCTGCTGTTCCCCGGTTCCAACATTTGTTGCACTGGAACCCCACCCTCTGTGCGTCTGTTTGCCACAGGTACTCCTGGTTCATCCTGGCCGCCTTCCTGGGCACCGCTGCCTTTTGGGTGCGCCAGTCCGATCGCGGCCTGCGCAACTATCCTGCGTCGCTCATCATGCCTCTCATGCAGGTTGGTATCTGGGGGGACGAGGTGGGCCAATAAAGCGGCACGTGCCTGATCCTAGAGTGGTGGCTGTGCCTGCCCTGCTTTTTGTTTCTCTTGTCGCTGCCGTCATGGCCCGGCCTGCCCGCGGGGTGTGCTTGCCAGGCCTTCTGGATGTGCATGTCTGTCCTGGAGGGAGGCATCTATTTTGACGAGCTGGTGGGGCTGCCGTCGCAACACCTGGCGCTGCTCGTGCTTGGCCTGCTGCTGGCGCTGCTGGGCGCCATCTTCATGGGCATCGCGGGGTTTGTAGCGGGTGAGTGTGCGCCCCTCGTGGAGTATCTGGTGTCTTCTGCTGGCTGCACAACTGCCATTGTCCCGCACACGTCACTGCTCCGCCTTCGTGCACCTGCAGAGAAGCCAGAGCATATTTTCCATTACAGTGCAGCTGCAAGCGAGCTGGCAGCAGCCGATGGTGGTGGCCAGGCGCTGTCGCCACCACCATCAATGGTGCATGTCATCGTCGAGAAGAACACCACAGGGCGTGTAGACCGGCTGAGCAGCCCCGTTTTGAGGGCCGGCTCCCAGAAGAATGGCTACTTCCAGAGCAGCAGCAGTGGCACAGGGGCAGACGTGGAGGCTGGCAAGCGCTGGTGGCAGCAGGATGGCAGCAGCGGCGTGACACAGGTTGGTGATTCTGCAGGCTGCTGCTTGCCCCTGCACGGGTGGCAGTGGTGGGCTGCTGCAGGCGGCTGGCTGTCCAGTGCGGATTTGTTGCTTGATTCAATGGCTGGTTGCTGTGCAGGTGCATGCCATAGCCTCGACATCAGGCGAGGTGCGCATAGAGCTGCCGCCGCTGCAACCTGGCAGCAGCACACCATCAGGGATGTCGCCGCAGTCTTTGGCCAGGCTGCAGGCTGTACGCAGCCCCACGCAGCAGCTGCTGAGCCGCGAGAACAGTGACGATCTTGATAGGGAGGTGGCAGCGCCGCACGGCGGTGGGGGGGCTTTGGAGAGGGCGCTGCAGGAAGCTGGCGGAGCAATTGCAGAGCCGGGTGGCATCGGGCCTGGCGGGCAGGCATTTGAATCAGTCATTCTACTAGACACCCTCATCGGCGGCAGCGCTACTTCCAAAGGCGCCCTGCAGCGACGGTGATCTCATCCAATCCCTTCCATCAGCACTGAAATTTTTCCTTCACTGCCTTGTTGTACCGTGCTATCCTGAAATGGCACATGTTTTTTCTCAACGGAGTCACTCTCCTTCTCCTGCTGCTGCAACTTACACCCAAGTTTAAATCCCCCCCGTTCCAGGCTGCAAAATGCGCGTCACACACAGGTGCCCGTGATTGGGTCGCAGTAGATTCCGGCGCTTGAACTCCACGTGTAGCGGGAGAATATGGCTATCCAAATTACTGTGAACACAGCAGCCATGGTGACATTCAAGATGAACGGGAGCTTGTGCCTGCAATCAGGACGGCAGTGGTCGGGCTTGGAGTTGCGGGCGAGCAGGCAAGCATGCAAGACGTGCGGGTGCTCACCTGGGGTCCGCCTGCAACTTTGGGCTGGCGCAGTACCAAACGCTCCCCACGTACCACCCCGGCCAAATCAAAAACGACACAATGAAGCACGTCCACATCTCGCCCAGCCCCCAGCAGCGCATCTTTTGGGGAGGCCCGCCAGCCTGCTGCTGCTCAAATGGCTGGTACCTCGAGCGGTCACTGCTGGTCCAGGCCACGCCCTGCTGCGGCGGCACTGCACCGTTTGCTCCATCAACTCCCATCGCGCCCAGGCCACCGTGTAGCGGGTCAGCCTGCGTTGCGCCCTGCGCAAGCAAGGCGTAGCTGCTGATGCCGTCCGCGCCTTGCCCTGGCTGGCTGCTGCCCCAGGGCCCCATCACCGCCACCGGGTGTGGCTGGGCCCCATCTGGTGGGAGGGAGAGAAACGGGTTTGTTTCCTGCCCTGGAGGGAGATAGCCGCCTGCTGCTGCTGCGGACACTGCGGCAACCTCTTGCGGCGGCAGCGGTGGCGGTGGGTAACCCGCCGGCCCAGCTGCCGCGGGAGCTGCCGCCCCTCCACGGGCAGCAGCGTCCTCCTGCGTGGGCTCGTCTGATTTCACAGCACCACTGGCCAGCAGGTTTTCGTCGTCATCCAAAAACGGGTTTCCCGCAGCCATTTCACGCCGCGGACTGATCGGGGAAGGGAAAGAAGAACCGAGAAAACGTGGATGACTCGGGGGAGCTCCCGGGAGATGCGCTGGTGCCAGCCGGTCAGCGCCAGCAGCGCCGCGCCTGTCAGGCAGGGCCCTCCCTCAGGAATTCATCTAGCCTGGATCTACTGGTTGGTGCTGCAAGAAGACCAGCTTCTTGCGTGCATTTCTGAACTTGCAGTTGTTACCCAGTGTGACGCGGGATGGGCGGGGGAGGGGAGGCACGGAGCGGCTACTGCTACGGCCGCCCGCCCGCCACCCGTTGGCGATGCACCCGGTGGTACCCGCAGCCAGCCAGCCACCCATCCAACCCGGCCACCCACCCGGGCGCCCGCCCACCCACAGGGCCACCACCCCCGGCCCCACCCACCTGCCGCGCCTCAAATGTGGCAAACCGCGCCGCCCTGGGAGGGAGGGCTTGGGAAAAGGTTGGGAGGAGCAGGTGGCAAAAGGAGGGCGGCTGGGAGAGGCGAAGCGAGCAAGACGGGTACGAAGAAGGGAGGGGGCAGCAAGAGAAGGGCCGCCGCCCAGGCAGTCCCAACCCATGCAACTTCAGCCGAGAGTTACAGTGCAGTCACACCCATGCAGGCGGCTGTCCAGAACTTCTACGATTATGCGCTCTCGTTGGGCGCCAGGCGCAGCAGCAGCCCAAAGTGGTCGCTGGGCAGCACAGGGCGGCCCTCAAACTGCAGCCCCGGCAGCGCCTGCTGCCCCAGCAACTCCATGCTGTGCAGGCGCCAGCGCCGCAGCTTCACAAACACTCTGTCCAGCCGACGATGAATCCGGCTCTTTCGCAGCATGGGATTCGCCCTGGAACTGTATGTCAACCCGGGATCGCCGTCGTGCAGGTGCAGCCAGGCGTCGCTCCACCCGCCGGGAAGGGGCGGCGCGCCATCATCAGGGTTCCAGTTCTGCAAGCATGCCAACCACAATGCGGATGCAATTCAACTGCTGCTATGCACTGTGACACTGGACAGCTGCGTGAGCAAGGCAGGGCATTGCTGTTGACAAAGGCAGGCAAGCTCACCATGTCTCCCGCCACCAGCACATCGCCCTCGGGCGCCCTGTCCAGCACTGCGAGCGACTGCTTGCACTGGGCCACACGCTGCGCACTGAATGTGTTATCCCAACTCGTTGGGCTCTCAAGGTGGGTGGTTGCCACACGCACCGGCCAGCCGCCCAGTGTGCCGGCCACAGACTTGAGGTCGCGCCCTGCAGAGGCCAACGGGGTTGGGCAACAGTTGTGAGCTGGCTTGGCTCCCGGACTCTTGTGAACCAGAGGTGGAAACATGGGTGTGCACGTGCTGCAAACATGATATGATAAAGCAGCTCACCCATCACAGAGTTGGAGAAAGGCAGCTGGTCGCACCCCCGCACGCTGCCCACGCTGCGGTGCCAGAGTAGGACGGTGAAGTACTGCACGCCGGCAGGGCAGGGCGAGGCGGTATACCTGTCCCACCAGGGGCTACAGCAGAAAAGCCCGTAGATGAGCGGCGTCACCTCCTGCAAGGGTGAGGGCACCCGGGGCTTGCCTCAATACCAACACGCAAATGCGTTGCAGCCAAGCCAAGCACGGCAGCGCCGGCGGGCGGCGCATGTGTGGCACCTGCAGGCACACAAAGTGTGGCTGGTTGGCCTGGATGATGGCGCCAATGGCAGCCATGCGTTGGGCAACGTGGACGTCCTCCATGAACCAAACGTTCCAAGTCAGTATTGACAGCTCGGGCTGCTCTTGCTGCTGCTGCTGCTCCTGCTGCGAACGGGCTGCGGCCAGGTTGCCGGTGAACGGCGCCTGTTGCGGTGCCTGCTGCTGTGTCCCATGGTCTGCCTGCGGGTGGCGCCGCTGCGTTGGCAGCTGCCCTTGGGCCTGGTGCTGGGAGAGGCGGGCCACGCGTTCCGCATGCAGCGCCGCCAGCAGCTTGTTGCTGACACCACCTTGTTCGGTAGGCGCTCCGGCGGCGGGCGCTGCTGGCTCATTGGGCAGCGCAGAGCAGAGCCCTGCGGCGGCTGCCGCTGCAGTGCAACTGGCGCCCCCCCATGTTTGCCGCTCTCCCGCCAACGGCCTATCGTTGATGCCACGCTCCTGGTTGACTTGGCGGGCGTGGCGCATGATGCGCTGCCGGGCACCCTCCTCCTCCGCTACCAGGTCAACGGGCTGCCGCTTCTTTCTACCGCCGCCGTGCTGGCATCCCGGCTCATCTGCAAAAGGTGTGGCATGGGGGAGTTGGTGCCGTTGGTGCCGGAGGGGAGACGCGGGAGAGCGGGTTTCGAAGGGCAGCGGAGGTGTGGCGGGAGGGCAGCACGTGCAACTCTGCGTCTGCTGCGGGCCTCACACGCCCATCCACATCCTACACACTATCTGCGTGCCTGGTGAGGCCGTCAAGTCGATGACCGGTGTTGGGTCCTCAAGCGTCATACTGAACGCTGCCTGATCGTGCAGGTGCCCAACGAGGGCTGGTGTAGGCAGAAGAAGAAGCAGGGGAAGAAAACAACAAGACGGGCTGCGTGTTTTGCAAGGCTGTGCGGGGGCGTAGTGCTCGTGACATCGCGTCCCTCGCCCGCTTCGCCACTGTTCTCACCCCGCCGGAGTTTGCGCCGCTTAGCGCGCACAGCCCTGTGCCGAGCTATGGGCGCGCTATGGTCGGAAGCACACTAGTTGGGCGCCACAGCAGTCCCAGCCTGCCCAGTGGGTTGAGCACGCGCGTGCTCGGCAAAGGGACTTGCGCCGCGGCGGCTGTGCAGGCGGAGACTTGCGGCACCATGAGCCAGGCCTCGCTGCCTCCAGTGCCACCCCTGGCGAGCCAAGCCTCGCTCAGGAGGCGCAGCAAGGCGGAGATTGCGGAGCAGCTGCTGGCCAACTTGAGAGCACGAGGGATGGATGTGGACTCCCCCGGCTTTGCGGCGGACCTGCGTGCACATTTCGAGGGGCTGCCCTCCAGGTGCGGCGGCTGCGCCTGGGACGGGACCCGGCGCACGCTGCCTCCTTTGCATGATTCCACACGCTCCCCCTGCCTGTCTCAAACCCGCCCTGGTTGCCCCTCCCTGGACACGCAGGTACGCGCTGGACGTGAACATCAGCAGCCTGGACGTGCTGAACCACAAGCGGCTGCTCGACAGCGCCCGCGCCGACCCGTCGGCCGTCTCCTTCCAGCTTCGCCCTGTGGACGTGGTCAGTGGGAGTGATTTAGCCAAGCGCCCCTCTTTCGGCAGCCTGGACACGCTCCAATACCAGCACGAGGTGGGACAGGGCGAGGCTTGGAGTGTCGGGGGCAAGCGCGCTGCAGGTGCCACATCGTATCTATACTGGCTGGCAGTTACTAGGAATGCTCAATGCTTTGCCCACGCAGCTGCTGCAGGCAGTTTCTAGCAACTACTCTCCGCATAAGCTGGCTGGGGGGCGGCCGCTGCCACGGCCGGCGTTTGGCTCATCGCCCAACCTGCAGGTACTTTGCCAGCTGTGTGGTTGCCGTGGGGCCTGCCCCAGCTCCTGCTGCAGTTTTGACCTGCAGCATTTTGCAGCCAGGGAACTGCATGCGCTGCAGTAAGCTCTTGCGAATGCATGCTACCGGCAACTGCTGTGCTTCTTTACAACTCAGCCTGGCGCGGGGTGCTTGGGACGTTGCAGGCGCTGGTGCTCGAGGCAGAGGAGAAGCTAGAGGCACAGGCGGGCGGCGAGCGCTCATCGCTGGCAGCGCAGGCCACCACCTTTTACGAGGTCACCATAGCATCCATAGACCAGCCCAAGCTACTCAGCCGGCTTTCAGAGTCACTGGTGAGCCCCAAGGGGCCAGCTTTTGTCAGATGGTTGCTGCCCAGACGCTGGCTTCTGCCACTCTGCAGCCATGGGCTGCGGACAAGCTCTCTTCTTGGAGCTATCTGAGGCCGGCAGCTTGATCAGTGCAGCTTGGCGTCCCTCCTTCAGACTGATCCAACACGCCTCCCTTTGGCCATGCTTACTCACCCCATCGGCATGCCATGTCACTCTTGTTGCCCTTGCAGGGCGACCTGGGGCTGAACATTTGCGAGGCGCATGCCTTCAACACAAAGGACCGCTTCAGCCTGGACGTGTTTGTGGTCAATGGCTGGGCAGGGGGCGGCACAGAAGAGCTGGAAGACGTGCTGAGCCGGCGGCTGCAGGAGCTGCCGCCGCCTGTGGTGCGCGGCGCCAGTGCCAGCCCACCCGCTTCAGCGCAAGAGGTAGAGCTGCGTGTGCCACAGGATGAGCTCGACGCGTTGGCAAAGGTGCGTCGCAGTTGGTGGGCGGAGGGGAAGAACAGCAGCCTGGCCACCATGGCATGCACACAGGGGCTGTGGCCAATCCTGGCAATGACTTGCATTGTTGCACCCCTGCTGCTTCCGGGTGCAGCAAGCCAGCACCAGCGCGAGCGACAATGACTGGGAGCTGGATCCTAATGAGATTATCTTCCACGAGAAGATTGCCAGCGGTGCATTTGGGGACCTCTTCCGCGGCTCCTACTGCGGCCAGGACGTGGCCATCAAGATCCTGCGCAACGTGCACGAGGACAGCCAGCAGTTCCAGGAATTTCTGCAGGCATGTGCCAGGCTTCGTGGCAGTGGGGTTCAGTAGCTTTGCGTGCTTGTAAAATGGCAGCGTGGCCCACCCTGCATGCCATGCTGGCGCCTCACTGGCCATTGCCTCCCACCTACTCATCCCTTGCAGGAGGTTGCAATCATGCGCAAGGTGCGGCACAAGAACATTGTGCAGTTCATTGGCGCATGCACGCAGAAGCCCAATCTGTGCATCGTGTTTGAGTTTATGTCGGGCGGCTCGGTGTATGACTACATTCGCAAGGTGGGGCATGGGTGATCGGTTAGTATGTGCCGTGGGTCCTGCCATACCGGCAGCTGCCTCCCCTCTGCTCGGCACATTGCTGGCGAGTGCTATGTCTTCCTGCATGCATGCCGCTGAAGGCCGAATTGCTGCTGGTGCCCTTTTTGGGGCTGCAGGCTGGACCCCTGCGTGTGGGGGCGGTGCTGAAGATAGCCGTGGAAGTGTGCCGTGGCATGGACTACCTGCACAAGCGCAAGATTGTGCACCGTGACCTCAAGGTAGGCACATGCTGGTGGCGGGGTTGCATGAACGGTTGTTAGCGATGCAGTGGCATCATGGAACGCTGCTTCTTGGCCTGGCCTGCTGTCCCCGGCGGCAGGGCCATCTGCTTCGGCTTGTTTGGTGTGCATGGGTGCAGAGGGCCCTTCTCACCCTTATGAGCCGGCCATCCTCATCTGCAGGCTGCCAACTTACTGCTGGATGAGACGGGAACCGTCAAGATTGCAGACTTTGGGGTGGCACGTGTGATGGACCACACCGGGATCATGACCGCCGAGACAGGCACCTACAGGTGGGTGGGGTGGGAGGGCGGGTGGACGGCAGCCAGTGGCGCTGCTATTGGCAGATAACCAATGTTCAGGAGCTGAAGGACTGCAGCGTGCACCGCTGGCAATGAGGCACGCGCTGGCGCTCCTGCTGGCATTCGTCAGCCGGCGCTCGGCCGTGGTGATGCCCGCCCACCTTTGCCGGCTTTCGCCCTGCAGGTGGATGGCGCCAGAGGTGATTGAGCACAACCCGTACAAGGAGAAGGCGGATGTGTTCAGGTGCGGGGTCGGCAGTAGGATACAGTAGGCGGAGGGCGGGGTGGGAGGTGTGGGCGAGGCGGTGTGAAGCCTGCATGCCGCCAATGCAAAGCCCGACCATAGACTGCCCCCTGGTGCAAACGTTGCAGCTTTGGCATCGTGCTTTGGGAGCTGCTGACGGCGCGCATACCCTACAGCGATATGACGCCTCTACAGGCGGCAGTGGGTGTGGTGCAAAAGGGGCTGCGCCCCCCCATCCCCCCAAACTGCCCGCCGCCGCTGTCTGACATCATGCGCCTGTGCTGGCAGCGTGACCCCAACGTGCGGCCATCGTTTGAGCAGGTGTGCTGTGGGAAGTATGGGGATTTGCACGCGGGATGCAGATCAGGGGCAGGATGGTGGACCAGAAGCAGCTTTGGCAAGTGTGGATGGTGCATGTGTACGCCTGTTCCCCTGGCAGCCTGCCCCCACTTCCGGCGTGCATGCACGTGTTTCGTCACGCTCTGCCTGCCCCCCACCTGCCCCCTGCTGCAGCTCAAGGTGAAGACTGAGGAGCTGCTGGAGGTGTACCGCCAGCAGGATGGCGCAGGTGGCGTCAGGAAGGCCTCGACAACCGGCGGGGGCGGCGGCGGTGCGGGCGGCGGCCTCTTGGCGCGCCTCAGGTCTGGTGGCGGCAGCAGCTCCATGCGCAAATGAGCGCGGCACAGCTGTGGCGCTGCACCTCGCCCGGCCGCCGGCGCCTTGGCCCGGCGTCCGGCAGGCTGCATGCGGCGCCGGCTCGCCCCTGCCCCCCTGCCTTGGTGACCCATTTTTTCTCTGAACTTTGGAAAATCGCTTCCTAACCTGTCCTGTGCCCGAGCCATGCCTAGCGCGGAGAACTTTTGTGATTGAGTGGAGCGGTGCGTCGTCTTACTAGTGGTCTTTGCCATGTCGCTTTTCTCTCTCTGCTCCCAGAACCCCCCAATTTTGAGCATCTTTCCCCTCAGCCCTGTCTGTTCCCGTGCACGAAACACTACCGAGCGAGAGAGCCCCTTCACCACATAATGCATGTCTGAGCGTTCACAAGAGGGCTGTAAACAGCTAAGAGTTTGTGTGGCAGTGCCTGGGGCTGCAAACACACCAGCATCGCTCTGCACACATCATGTGCAGTCAGCATCGTCAGCATCGCTGGCGCCAGCAATGCTGGCTGCACCTCACACCCAAACCGTCCTTCCTTCCTCCCTTCCATCCCGATATCATGTCGCTGATGTCATCCACGGTGGCGCTGCTCTGCTGCCTGGCCGGGCTGGCCCACACAGCCCATGGCGCACAGCGGGTGGCCGTCATCGGAGGGGGGGTGGCTGGCGCTTCAGCTGCCTACTACACGCGGAAGGCCCTGGGTGCTGATGCCGTTATTGAAGCGTGAGCGCTGCTCCACGCTAGCCGCCGCCGCCGTCCCGCCCACGGCGGGCAGGGCGGGGTGCTCCTCCCCTCGACCCGCTCCCCCTACACATGTGCAGATTTGATCGCGAGCAGCTGGGTGGGCGCGCGCAAGAGCTGGAGTATGATGGTGTTACCCTGGAGTTGGGTGAGTCCAGGCAGACTTTTACGCTAGTTGCGCATCCTGGATGCCGCAGCCTGCCAGGAATGGGCAAGAGGCGGTCGGATTTCCTACCTTCCTAGCTAGGACACGGTTTTTGTGCTGTGAAATCCGAGCTGGGAAAGCTGGGACAGTCCTAGCCAGACTTGAAATTTGGTTCCCAGCTGCCTAGCTTGGATGCTGGCCGCCCTCCTCCATGTCCGGCCTCATCCTAGCTGAGCCTTCCCACCGCAACCTCCCAGGCTTCCTAGCTGTCCCAGCTCAGGGAACGGCGCTCCGCAGGGAGCCCTGTCCTATCTTTCCCATCCTGCCTACCTTTCCTACCCGCCGCCGGGGGGTCATCGGCAGCGGGTAGGAAAGGTTGGCCGGATGGGAAAGATTAGAAGGGGCTTCCGGGGGGGGGGGGGGCGGCAGGCTTGGAAAGGTAGCCGGATGGGAAAAGTGGGACGGGGGCTCCCGGGGGCTGTCGGCGGCGGCAGCTGGGAAAGGTAGGTAGGAGGGGAAAGGTAGGATGGGGGCCCATCCCATTCTGTGCAACAGGCTGACGGCGGCGGCAGCTGGGAAAGGTAGGTAGGATGGGAAAGCTGGGATGGGGCCCCGGGGGCTGGCAGCGGCGGCGGCTGGGAAAGGTAGGTAGGATGGGAAAGCTGGGATGCCCCCGGGGCTGGCGTCGGCATGGCCCTGTCGGCATGCTGTCCTACCCTCTCCCAGCTAGGACAGAACCGCCCCTCTTGCCCATGGCTCCAGCCTGACCAGCTGCGTTGCCGGTGTGCAGGTGCGTCAATTATTTGGGAAAAAAATTGGCTCATACGGGAGCTGGCGGCTGCCGCGGGGCTGGAGCGGGCGAAGACCTCTGACGGCCTAATAGCCGTCTACGATGGGCGTGAGTTGATATTTCGGCAGTCCTCATGGCGCCTGCTCACCCTGCTCCGTCTCATCTTCCGCTACTGGTTTTCGTGGCTAAACTTCCAATCAGCTCCCGCCGCCATGTGGGAGAAGTTCCAAACCATCTATACGCTGCTGGACAATGGCAAAACGTTTGATACGCCAGAGATGCTGCTGAAGCAAATCGGCCTGTATGATCTCACTCAGGTACGTTGGCTGAGGTGCGTTGGCTGAGCAATTGGTGCGGTGGCGGAGCAAATGGTGTGGGCAAAAGAAACGCTAGCTGAGCAAAAGACAAAAAATACTGAGCGAAGCAAAAGATTCAGGGGTGCGTGGGCTTAGCAACATTGTTAGAACAACGCAGGTCTCCATGTATGAGTGGTTGCGTGAAAGTTATGGTGCGTCGATAGATGCCCTGGCGAAGGAGTTGATCGGGGGAGTAAATCTCGTAAATTACGGCCAAACAAATGAGGAGCTGAATGCGCTGGCAGGTGGGTGGCGGCCCTCGCATGCGCATGGGGCAGGCCGGTGTGATGATGGATTGATGCGGGATGCCGAACCGCCCGGAATGGTGATACAGTCGCATGCCTCCACATGTGCAGGCCATGTGTCCATGCTACCCGCAACCGAGCCATCGGTATTCCGGATCAAGGGTGGCAACAGCCAGCTGGCACCCTGCGTGTTTGCGGTGGCCAACGCCACTGTGCGCACCCCTGTGGCTGTTACCTCGGTAGAGCGCCTGCCGGATGGTTTCTGGCTGGAGGTGCAGGAGCAATGCACAGCCGCGCCAGGGCGGGCGATGGTGCGGGAATGCGCCGCCACCTACCAGGGGCCCTATGGCGCTGTCATCATCGCCACGCCGCTGGAGAGCAGCGGTCTGGCCTTCCCGGGACGCGCCACCCTGCCAGCCATCCCCGCCCGCAAGTTCGTCCAGACAGTGGTGACCATCATCCTTGGGGCCGTGCGCCCCTCGTACTTTGGCGTTTCGCAGATGGACTATGGTGGGTGCGGGCGGGCTGCGCCTGGCTGGGCACAGCCCAATGTGTTGCACCCCAGATGTCATGGATACAGCGCAACATTTTCTTGGCTCCCAGCCAACGTTGTCACGTCCTGACCCTTTCACGGCAGGGTCACACGTCACGGTCACGTCACTTTCACGCAGGGGTTGTGATGGTAACAGAGGATGCACAGGTGCCTTGGAGCTCGCTGAGCCTGGTGGGCCGCACCGCCTCCAACCAAACCCTCTGGAAGATGTTCAGCCGCGAGCCCCTGCCCCACGCGTGGCAGGAAATTTTGTTCGAGAAGGGCTTTTTGGTAGTCGTAGAAAAGATCTGGTCCTCGCCTGGAGCGTACCCAATGTACGTGCTGCTGATGGCATTTGCTTTGGTGCAGCTGATTGCTTGGGCTTTGCCGCACCTATTTACAATGCCAGCAGGTTGAACACGTTGCCTGCTAATCTGCTGCCCCATGCCTCAGATTCGACCCACCTGAAGACTTTGCCCCATTCACGCTGGGGGACGGCCTGTTCTACGCAGCTGCGCTCGAAAACGCTGCAAGCGCCTTGGAAATGGCGGCCATTGAGGGGCGCATGACAGCGCTGCTAGCAGCCAAGCACCTGAGTGCGGCAGCAGAGAAGCAGCGCTCACAGCAGGAGGTTGAGGCGGGGCTGGAGCGGCAGGGCGGGTCCAGCCAACACGTGTTGGCTCAGCAGGGCCGGGGTGCCAAGCAGCAAGGCACAGCTGCTGCCGCCTGATGCAAGCATGTCAGCTTGCACCCACTGCAATGCTGTGGTCTGCGGACCGTGTCTTCCTGCTTTTGCCAGTGGCTTTGCACGTGGAATAAACTGGATGCAGGGTGGGAGGATGAGGACATCACACGTTGCCCACTGGCAAGTCGACCTGGTGCTGACTGCCCGGGCGCCTCAACTGCCCTTCACTTGCCACCGGCCCTGCGCCTGCTTTACACACAGAGGAGATGGGGTAGATGTCCTGCTGCTGTTGCATTGTTTGTTTTCACAAACAGCAGGACACCTGCTCAAAAGCCGGTGTCCGATGGCAAATGAATTGGGACGCACCAGCGGCACAAGTTTTGTCAACCCAGAAATGTGGGCGCTTCGACGACCCGCTGTCACCACAAGGCCCTCAATTGCCAGGCGCGTCATCCCGCAATCCGTGGACCCTGACTGCCGCAGCAGAGGCCGCAGCGTGAGCGGGAGTGGACTCCAAGCTCAGGTCGGCTATGTCGCCCAACATGTCATTAGACTGCCCGCCCTCCAGTGCTGCTGTCAGCTCCAGATGCTGCAAATGCTGGCTGGAAAAGGCACGGTGAGGGTGGCCCTGCGGGGAGGGGCCCTCGTTGGCATCGTCGCCAAAGTCAGAGGCACCAGCAGGGCTCACTGCACAGCAAGGGTTGGGCAGTGCATCACGGCAAGCAGGGTCAGGTGGGCGGCCAGGTTGGGGACAGCAGCAGGGTGCTCAAGACAGCAATTCACTACTGGGCGCAGCAACATAGCAGAAGGGGGGCAATACAGGCGCCACACTGCTGTAGCGCACCGCCGCCATCTTCGTGTTCGTCATCCGCCACGTGGCCCCAGCTGCGTTCACGGCCGATGACGCTGGGTGGTGGGCTGGGTGAGTAGAACGGCTTTCGCATGCTCCACTGCAGGCAGAAAGGTGGGCAGATGGATGGACAGCATGCCAGCTGGCCCACACTTGGGTCCATCGTGCACACTCCACCCATACACTCGCCTCAACCTGCCGCTGCCCCAGGTTGCCATTGTCGGGCAAGGCCAGCACCATGGAGTGGCGGCCACCTGCCGCGACGCTGATCACGCGCCAGCGCTCGGGGCCGCCCGGCAGTTTGAGCTCCACCGGCGAAAGGCAGTCCTTCTGTGCGCCCGTGCCCAGCCTGCATGAGCGTGTAATGTGATGGGTGCATTCAGTATGGCGATTGGATGCACACGTGCCGCATTGCAGCAAATCAGGGAGCTACTAATTCTTGCATAGCCTCCCACGCACCGGCCAAATGCGCCACGGCCCCAGATGAAGCAGCGGCCCTCGTCAGTCACCACCATGGTGTGGGTGCCACCGCAAGAGCCCTCCACAACTCTGTGCCCCTCCAGCGTCTTCACCTGCACGTTACGACTAGCCATTAAGTCTTCTGGAAGGCTGCCAGCCAGACTGCAGGTTTGCAAACAGTGCCAGCAGCAGAAACGCCCCCCACCCCACCTTCTGGGGCCTCAGCTTGGACGAGCCGGTGCGGTCACCCAAGCCCAGCCTCCCGTACTCGCCACGGCCCCACACATACACCTCTGCAGTCATGAAGCAAGGGATGCTGTTGTCCAAACATCTGTCCATTATTCTCTCAGGAAACAAGCCGCTCAGGACGCGTTGCCAGCACCACTCCCCTGACCCTGCCCTCCAAACAGGCTGCACACCCACCTCCCTCTGCTGAGATGGCCATAGAGTGCCAGCCACCTGCCGACACATCGGCAATGAACACACCCTCCAGTCCCACCACCTTCTCCGGGCAGGTGGCGTAGCTAGTTGTACCGTTACCGAGCATCCCTGCAAGACCAAAGCAATAATGCTGAAGCGCCAGCGCAGGCGAGCAGGCACACCAAACCAAGACCTCACCAAAGTCGTTGATGCCCCAAGTGAAGCACTCTCCAGCAGCGTTGAGGGCCAGGTTATGGAAGGCGCCGCAGGAGACGTCCACAAAATCGCCGGTGGTGTCTATTCTCCTGGGTGCACGGTTGATGGTCATGCTGAAGTCGCCCCACGGCTCGCCCCTGCGGCTCAGCAGCAGCAGCAGCAGCAGCACAGTCATGACACGCCCCACGTTGTGCGGTGCCCAACTGTCTGGATCGCTTGCTAAAGCGGGCGCAAGCGGGATCTACCACTCTCCCAGTTTGCCTCACCACATCCAAATCTGCACCACAGAGTAGGGCAAGCAAGCAGGCAAAACTGTGGGATTTGCATGGACAGGGGCCCAGGGCACGATGCCGGTGCAGGAAGAACAGGAAAGAAACCTTGCGCAACTGTAAGTAGGAATACACAGGCACATGACGCAATGCCATCCGCCCCACGCACCTCTCCCGTCTCCGTCAGCGCCAATGAGTGCATGCCGCCTGCCGCTACCTGCTTCACGGCGATGCCCTCAAGGCACTTGACAGGTGCCAGGATGTCGCGCTTGTCCCGCGGCAGGCATTGTCCATACTCGTTCCCTCCTGCATTGAACAGCGTCAAGGTAGCAGTCACATATTGGACTGGTATGCACCAGCGCCAAAGTAGCACGGGCAAGCCATGGTCACGCAACAGCGGACTTGCTTGCACCCACCCCATGCCCAGCACTGCCCAGTGTCGTCCAATGCCAGCACATGCCAGCCGCCGATGGCCGCCTGCTTGATGTGCACGCCCTGCAGGCCCGCTACGCGTTGTGGCTTTCCCTGCGGCTCACGATGACCGTGCCCAAGCGTGCCCCGAGCATTCCAGCCCTGCATGCATGTCGGCCACATGCAGCAGAGCAGATGCAATGCCATTTCTGGACTTGGAGCGCAACGGGTGCGCGGCCAATGCGCCTTTACCCTGCACATCTGTTGCAAGGCTGCACAGCGGTGGTGGTTGCACGCACCCAGGTGATGACGTTGCCATCAGCGCCTATGGCTAATGTGTTGCGGCTGCTGGCTACCAGGGGAGAGCAGCCGAACTCGCGGCCGCGGAAGCGGGTGCCTGCAAAGGGACACACTGGCGGGGAAGATGGACTCGGCAGTAACACTGCCCAGCACGCACCCCCCACTTCAGCCTGCACTCGCGACATGCCTGGCTGTGCTCGCTGTGCCTGCCGTGAGGGCCGACCGTACACGGCAGGCACTCACCAAGACACGCCTCCACCACTTTGGCGACAATCACATTGTCTGCGCCTACAGCAGCGGGCCGCTGCACCCGCTCCAGCCCTAGCTGGCCGTCTTCGTTCACCCCCCAAGCAAACACCACGGCCTCAATGGGCGGGTCGTCTGCATACAGGGCATAACGAGTGTAACGTGGCCGGGTGCCTCTCCATCTTGCAAAAACTGACGCTCTCGCACACAACAGGCATCTTCAATGCCCAGAGATACATTACCCTCACACATGCCGCACTTACAAAACCAGGCAGGCAGTCCCTCGCACAGCGAGCCGACGTGGCTGCTTCCGCCGACAGAGCCAGGCGTCAGGACGTGTGGTGCCGGGCTGCCGCCGCCGGGCAGCAGCGGGCTGCCGCCGCCGGGCGTGAGAGAGCTCATGAATGCCCGATCACGCTGCTGCTGCTATGCCGTTAAGCCCTTGCGGCGCCGCAGGCCAGGGCTCGGCCTGAGGCCTGGGGCCGGGGCAGAGGCTCGCGTGGAAGGCGCTCAAGACGAAGACGACGAAGAAGAAGAATGACACACGTGGGTGAGACTGACGAGAGCTCTCGACCGATGTGCACTCCTGCTGAAAAAAACCTCAAGTTTAGCCGAAGTCCTGCTGTACTGCAGTCAGCCTGCCTCTGGACGAACAGAGACGTTTCTCTGGGCATCTCAATGCTTTATTTGTTTCCGACATTTCACAGCACGCCCCGGGCAACAAGTTCGTTGTGACCCAGCCCCGTGTCCCGCAACCCACCGGCAGCCGTCCACAGTCTCCACGGCGCAGCAGGTAGCAGGCAGGCTAGAAGGGCAGCCAAACAAGTGCGGCCTTGTCGGCCTCAGAGCAGCGATGCCAGCGGAGGGTGTGCCAGAACAACCGGAGGCCGCCAAGAAGGAGCAGACCGACGCGGCAAATGCGGCGATACCGGACAAGGCAGGTTCTGGCCTTGGCGCGCAGCCAGCCGGCGGGGCGGTGGGTCCGGCGTCGCCCGCCCACCCGCTCGGCGGGGCGGTGGCTTGCATACGGCCCAGCAGCGTGTGCGTTGAGCGGCGTTGGCAGGCATCAGAGGGATGCAGGCTGAACACCCCAGTTCCAGGGGTCTGTGCCGCCCACATCCACCTGAACACAGCCGGTGTACCCTACATGTCACCGGGTGTGTTCCTCTGCTACCCATTCCCGCTGCAGGTGCAAGTGGGCGGCAGCCCGCTGTACATAGTCGACAAGAAGCTAGGCAAGGGCGGGTTTGGCCAGGTGTACATGGGTCGTCGCCAGCAGCCCACCAAGGAGAAGGACGGCGCAAACGCCAACATGGTGCGGCAGCAACAGCACACAGCACTTGCGCATGACATGGGCAGGCGCTTGCTCATTCAATGGGCCCTTTACGACTGCGAGGGAGGCTGTAGACATTGCAAGCTGACAACATTGCTGACTGCATCGTGCTTTTGCCGCTGCTGCAGGTTGCGCTCAAGCTGGAGCACCGCAGCAGCAAAGGGTGCAACTATGGGCCGCCGTACGAGTGGTCTGTGTATGGGTGCGTACAGGGCCACTCCTGCGGGCAAGGCGGACAGGGCCACGCCAGCCTGAAGAAGGCAAAGTGCAATGAGCTCCTCTTTGCATCTTGTCTGCAAGCACTGCTACTTTCATAGCCTTTGCTCACTCACTCTTGCAAGGCTGGTTGCAGCGCGCTGGGCAACATCCCAGGCGTGCCCAAAGTGCACTACAAGGGGCGGCAGGGCGACTTCTACATCATGGTGCGCCACTCTTTTCTTGCTGCAGCTGCAGGGATGGGACACTGTATTTGCTGCTTTCATCCCGAGTCATCCATATAGGCTGGTTTGTGCACGACTGCGCTTCTGCCTCGAGCCACTCCCGCCCAACTGCGCTTCAGGTTATGGACATGCTGGGGCCCAGCCTCTGGGATGTGTGGAACACGCAGGGGCAGGTCATGTCACAGGAGATGGTGGCATGCATAGCTGTGGAGGCCATCGCCATCTTGGAGCGGCTGCACGCCAAGGGGTGAGCAGGGAAGGAGTCAAGCTCCCTCCCAGCTGGCATAGGGCATCTGTTGGCAACTGAGCGGCCACCCAATCCCATAGCTGCATGCTGTTGTTGTGTGTGGGCCAGGAAAGACAGTGGAACACGTGCTAAAGTGCGTCGTGATGCCCGCACTTACGCAGCTTTGTGCATGGCGACGTGAAGCCGGAGAACTTCCTGATGGGGGCACAGGGCTTGCCCAATGAGAAGAAGCTGTGGCTGGTGGACCTGGGGCTAGCCACACGGTGGAAGGTGGGACAGCGGTCGCGGCGCCTGGGCCCTATCGCTATTGCATGCAGGCTGGCACGAACTACTGCTCCTGAGCCCCTACTGATCAGTAGTGCTGCCACGCTCCAATGTGCTGTACAGGACGCGGTGTGCGGCACGCACGTCGAGTACGACCAGCGGCCTGATGTCTTCCGGGGCACCGTGCGCTACGCCTCTGTGCACGCCCACCTTGGGCGCACTGCTAGCCGGCGCGACGACCTCGAGTCGCTGGCCTACACGCTGCTCTTCCTGCTGCGAGGCCGGCTGCCATGGCAAGGGTACCAGGGCGACAACAAGGGCTTCCTGGTGTGCAAGAAAAAGATGGCCACCTCGCCTGAGCTGCTCTGCCGCTACACGCCGCCGCCATTCCGGCAATTCACCGAGGCAGTGGTCAACCTCAAGTTTGATGAGGAGCCCAAGTGAGTTCCTGGATGTGATGGCTGATACTGTTCTCCTGAACGTTGCGCAGTACCTGCTGTCTCCCCCTTGCCTGCCTGGCTGTAACACCTGCGTGCTTCCCCTTATCGCACCATCACCTCGCAGGTATGCGGCCTACATGGAGCTGTTTGACCCACTATGCGGTCCTGCAGGGCCTTCCCGCCCTCTTATGGTGGGGGAGGGTGCTGAGGGCACCAAGGTGCGCATGCAGCATGTGCCAGGGGGGGGGGGGTGCAACAACCTATGGTGGTGCTAGGCTCTCATACTGCTGCTGCACTGTGCCCGCGAGCTGTGGTGGTTCTCACAGCTCTGGCCACGCGCTGGGACTGCTGTCTGTTGAAGGCAGATTGCTTGCATCCACCCTGCTGCAGGTGGGGCAGAAGCGCGGGCGGGAGGGTGGCGACACCGCCGACCTGGAGCTGCCCACACCCAAGAAGCGGATACGGCTGGGGCTGCCCGCCACGCAGTGGATCACGGTGTACAACGCACACCGCCCCATGAAGCAGCGCTACCATTACAACGTGGCCAACAACCGTGTGCAGCAGCATGTGGAGAAGGGCAACGACGATGGGCTCTACATCTCTTCTGTGGCCTGCTGCCAGGACCTGTGGGCCCTCATCATGGATGCCGGCACCGGCTTTGCGCAGCAGGTCTACGATCTCAGCAACCAGGTGGGTGCGCGGGCAGGCAGGTCGGGTCCGCGTGGGAGGCTTCCTTGTTGGCGGACGCTCATGCCACCCTTGCTCAACATGTGGTGCCTCCGCTGCGCCCCGCCTGGCGGCCCAACCACCCCTTGCAGTTCCTGCCCAAGGACTGGATCATGGAGAAGTGGGAGGAGGGGTACTATATCACTGCCATGGCAGGTGGGCATTGGAACAGTGATGCCAACGCGCCGTCTGCAGGTCGTCAATTTTCACTTGCTGTGATAAGAAAGGGGCTGTTTGTTTGTTGAGCGGCAACAGAGGGCCATGCCGACTGCCTCTCACTCTGTGCAGGCTCTGCCACTGGCAGCAGCCTGGTGGTGATGAGCAAGGGCACGCCCTACACGCAGCAGAGCTACAAGGTGTCCGGTGAGCAGAGCCCTGGAGGCAGTATGAGGAGTTTGTATCTATGGATGTTTCTTCACACCTGGGGGCATGGGCTGGCTGCAATCTCTTGTACTGCCTATGAACGCACTCCATTTTGCCCTGTTTGATTGCACTGCAGACTCCTTCCCCTTCAAGTGGATTAACAAGAAGTGGAAGGAGGGATTCTTTGGTGTGTTGCACGCAATTTCTAGGCGCCCGAGCATTGCGCTGGCCAGCTTTTGTGGGGATGCCGCCAGCTCACCCCCACCCCCACCCCCACCCCCACCCCACACACACACACTGCTTGCAATTCTGCTGGCTTGCCTGCAGTCACCGCCATGGCCACCAGCCACTCACGCTGGGCGGTAGTGATGAGCCGCAACGCTGGCTTTGTAGACCAGGTAGGGCAGAATGGTGTTTCCCCTGGACATGGTATAAACGCCATGCCAATGAGCCGGGAACCCGTCATGGCAGGATTGCTGGCTGCCTGCCACCACTTTCCACTGCTCTTTATCCATCTTGCAGTGCGTGGAGCTGGATTTTCAGTACCCGTCGGAGGGCATCCATCGGCGATGGGATGCCGGTTACCGCATCACCAGTTGTGCCGCCACCCCTGACCAAGCAGCCTTCGTGCTCAGGTACCCATCCGCCTTCTCCCCATCGTGCGCTGCTCACTGAGCCGACGTACCTCTCGGTACCGGTGCTAGCAGGCTGTAAGTGTATTGTTGCTCATGGCCATCCCTCTCTGCACAGCGTTCCCAAGCGACGACCAATGGATGAGACGCAGGAGACGCTTCGGACGTCTGCCTTCCCCAGCACGCATGTCAAGGAGAAGTGGGCCAAGAACCTGTACATTGCGGGAGTGGCGTATGGCCGAACAGTCAGCTGAGGACAGCTCGCTGGCCTCATTGGCTGTGCAGGGCTTTTCGCTCAGGGCTCACCAGCCTACCGCGCCGCCGTGGCCATGCTGCTGTACTGCCTCCATAGGTTCTGACGCCGACGCACTACGAGCACTCCTCCTATTGATCTACCGCATTGTCCTGTTGACCGCTGCTGCTCCTTTATTCTCTCAGATGTGCTTCTGTGCACGTACGCTGTACCATCTCAGGCTGCCAATGGCAACCCCGTATCTGTCAGACCCTAACGCACA